ATAGAATGGCAGAAATGCACAAATGGCACTTGAATTAGTCTGAGGAAAAAGGTTGTGTGTGTGTGTGTTGCTGCGCATAGCACTGACAAACTAAATGCACACCAGCAGGTGAGTCTATGAAGAACTTTTAACAGTGGCTCACTATCCTCCTCTAATGGCCATTTGTGTTATAAAAGTCAAAAGAGAAAAACGTTAGTCATATTTGATACACGCTGAATTCTGAGATTTCTCTTGAAGCTGACACTGCATTTTACTGTAGACAATCCAGATGACTATGACTATTTTAAAGGCATCCCACAGAGAGAGAGAGAGGGAGCTTTAGAGGGGGGGTTGGTGTGGTTGAGGAGTGAGTCTGAGAGCCTTGACATGTCATTGATAGTGTTGCCATGACGGTGCAGAGTTTTGTTACTGGATGAATAAAGCCCTCTAAGAACCTTTTCTTATTTCACCCCACGGGGAAATTGGGTCATTGGCATGCAGCCGGTATGGGGTGTAAATTGCTGTCTTAATTGAACACTTGCAAAATCCTAGTTGAAACAAGGAACAAGTGTATAAATTGTAGCTGGTTTCACTGGTCAGTGTTCAATCCACATATTGCAGATATTACTAATAGTAGCTTACTAATTTCAATGCTACTGTAGTCCTTCTATTTAGAAAAGGAAAGCTTTATACAATATTGGAAATATACAATTTCAACAGATCATTTGATTTGCGCTTTTTGTAAAGAAATGATTCATTTAGGTTGGGAAGATTCTGTAGGAGAGTGAATGATGCATAAAATGTAATAGACAAATTACAAGCGATATACTGTAAATAGCTGCAGAACAAAGCAAAGACGGAGTTGAAATAAACAGTGTTGTATTGTTTTCAGGCATTCAAATAGTATTTGGATGAAGAAATTAAATAGTGTAAAACAACACTGCAAAGTCTTCACTCTATGAATAATTCAATAAAACTATTAATAAAACTAAGTTATGAATGGTAAAATGTCTTGTGCATGAATGCTTTAAACTATCACAGGCATTCAAAACATATGAAGAATATTACTTTTACTCCGTTATGGTTAATGATAATAATAATTACTTTCATATAGCCATTTATATAGCGCTTTTCTAGACACTTGAGTTAATTTATAATTTTTTTTGGAGGGGAATCTCCTCATCCACCACCAGTGTGCAGCATCCACCTGGATGATGCGACCGCAGCCAAATTGCGCTGTACTAGCTAATTGGTGAAGAGGATGAAGCCAATTATGATATGGGGATTGTTAGGAGACCATGATAGACTGAGGCCAGTGGGCAAATTTGGCCAGGATGCCGAGCTTAAACCCCACTTTTTTTCCAAGGACATCCTGGGATGTTTAATGACCATAGAGAGTCATGACCTCAGTTTAACATTTCATCCGAAAATTTCACTCACTGACCCCATCTATATACTGGGGCTTTGGGACCCACACAAACTGCAGATTGAGCACCCCTGCTGGTCTCACAAACACCACTTCCAACAGCAACCTAGCTTTCCCATGTGGTCTCTCATTCAGATACTGACTGGGCGCAACCCTGCTTGACTTCAGTGTGCGACCATGTGCTGGCTAACTGCAGTGACACCCAAAATCTCATGTGTCCTGAATTGTAGCTTCTGGTCAAGTAGAATTCCAACTCAGTATTGGATACCCTGTAATGTGACAATATCAATGCTGAAACGATATATTCTCCAACTCTAGTTCTAGATCAAAAATCCAAGGGGCAGCACAGTGGTGCAGTGGGTAGCACAATTGCCTCACAGCAAGAAGCTCGGTTCGAGTCCCACCTCAGTTCGAGTCCCACCTGGGTCAGTTGGTATTTCTGTGTGGAGTTTGCATGTTCTCTCTATGTTGGTGTGGGTTTCCTCCGGGTGATCCGGTTTCCCCCACAGTCCAAAAACATGCGCTATAGGTGAATTGAATAAGCTAAATTGGCTGTATTGTATGTGTGTGGATGTGAGAGTGTATGGGTGTTACCCAGTGTTGCGTTGCAGCTGGTAGGGCATGGTGCTACATAAAACATATGCTGGATAAGTTGGCAGTTCATTCTGCTGTGGCGACCCCTGATTAATAAAGGGATTAAGCTGAAAATAAATGAATGAATGTTTTGATAAATAGATACATATGGACACACCTTAGTTGAAATCTGTGTAGCAACAGTACAAACACTTTTTTATTATTTACACCCATAAGGTATTTTGAAGATTGCTGTTAACATTTTTTTTTTCAAAAAGAAAGCTGTCCTGTGTTTTAGTTGACCATTCACTTCACACTTCTTTCTCTCAGAAATAAAATATTTTGTGTAATGTAGAAGTCAGAAAGTCATAGGTTTGGAACAACATGAGGTTCAGTAAATGGTTGGTGTTACTGTCAAACCTAAGAAGGTTGGTGGTACTGTTGGTGTTATTTGCTGTTATAAAATAAATAAGTCAGATGTTGCCATGCGTTACAGTATTTATAGTTTCTACATACTGTAACATGCCTGGCTTATTGCTTCAGTTGTATTTGAAAGGCTTTGTGCAGTCCCAACCAAGGCTAATGTTGTGGGACTTTTATTAGGAACATTTGAGCTTTCAGGTTTTTTATATAAGCTACAGTAGGATGCTCTAAAAGATTTTTCATTAAAAAAAATATGGATATGCTTTCAAAACTTGCAGTTTAGCATCAATAATTTTGATGACATCTTCTTGCATTTCATTTTTTTTATCCAGCCCAGGTTCACTGGAAATAAATGTCTCAACCTTTATTTTTGTGAAATGCATTATTTGTTGCATGTTAAACCTGGTTTATACTTCTGCATCAAGTGATTGGCGTGACCCATGGTGTATTCAATGCATGTTGCCATACATTTTTACTTTTGAGTACTGTTTGTGTGGCTCTGCAATAACACTTCAAAAAATACTAGCTGGCGGTGAGGTTTTTATGTTCCTTTGTGTCGAGTTTCTTCGCTTTTGTTTAATTTTTCTGAACACTACTTTTATGTACAAGTGTCTCAAACTCGCTCATTTTGAGGCGGGAACCAGCGGACATGCAACAACTTTATTCAAAGGTGCACAAAACAACAGTTTCCATCTAGATCTTCTTCACGGAACAAGACACTTGTAAACACTTGCTCCATCAAACTCGCACAGCTCACCCCTGCCCACACTCTTGTTTTGACGTTTTTATTTTACACATCCATGAAAATACAGATCACCTAGACAAGTATTAACCAATAAACCTAAACCCAACCTATGTTGTTTTCAAATGCAATCATATAGGCAAAAAGGACATAGAGATCATATAGTTTTACCTTGATTTTACAATACTTTTATCTCTTGTGGAACCTTGCTTTACTGTGCTCGAAATCCCATTACATTGCATCACTAGTAAAAATTTGTACAAAGTGAGTTACAGAGCTAACTGTCAAGGATATTGATTGGTCAAAATTGATGGACATACCAGTAGGGGGAATTACTGAGTTGTTAAAACAAGAGGACAGAGTAAAAGAGTGTCAAGAAAGAAAGCATTGTGTGGGAATGGTTGCTAGATTAGATATGGTTTGCTGCCGGAAGTTAACAAGAATTTTTTACATTTATTTATTCAATTTCATATTTATTGTATTTTTTTAACGTATACAACCCTCAACCCTAAACCCAACTGTCACATTAATGTAAAAACAGTAGCTGTACCGAGTATTATTTATGTTATTAATTAAATTACTCAATATGTTTTTATTAACGCCTACTGTACCCTATCCCAAACCTAAACCCACCGTCACAGTGCTATAAAAATTTTAATTATTTTTATATAGTGTTACAAAAATGATGCTATATTGATGTGCTTATCCACAGCTGTATCCTATCTAGACTTTACCATGCGTGGACTTTCTTCCTCAGAAGATTTTAGATTAGCTTTGATAATGAGGAGGATATGAGGAACCATTTTTGTTCTTAAAATAACCTTAAGAGAATGGTTCTTTAGAACCTGTTTTTGTTAGTTAAAATGTTAGTTCAACCCCAAAATGAAAATGGTTAACAATTATTTACCCTTATGTTATGACAAACTTCTGAGAGCTTTTTTTCAGATTTAAGACAAAAATGACTATATTTTAGGTGAAATCTGAGAGCTTCATCCTCAAGACAGTAAGGTTCCCGACTTGTTCAAACTCACATTCTCTAAACAATCCATGTGGTTAAATAATGGTAAAATAAATTTCATTTTCAAGCTAATAACTTTGTGTGCACATTAAACAAAATTAACTAAATTAATTAGTTGGCATGTAGATGCAATGTACCTTAAATTTAGCAAACAGACCATTAAAATAAAGTGCGACCACAATCATAAATATGAACGCAACTTTAGACACACAAGTTATTCTAAACCAATAACTTACTGGAGCGGTAATCTATCTATAACTTATTGTTAGACATATACTTATAATTAAACATAGCCTGAGACAGACTATAAAAGTACTTTTATACATAATCCAGAACAATATTGTGCCACCACCACTTAAAGAACATTTTAATAATCTAAAGAACTCTTTAACTTCATAATAAAGAACGTTTTGTGCAACAGAAAAGTTCTATGGATGTTAAAGCTTCATGAAATTATCGATGGCAATACATTTGCCAAAAAGTGTAGTCATTTTTCTCTTTTCCTCTTAATTTTGCTTACTCGAAAAACTTAAGCTATCAAGCCCCTCGTCACTACAGCTAAAAGCACCTTAGGATAAAAAGAATGAAGCAGTTTAGAGCCACTCTAAAATGAAATTTGGCAGCTGTCATCATCCGCGCTTCCTTCAGTTTCTGTGTGGCGAGCGGTTGAGATCTTTATCGAGCTCGCGCCTTTAAAAGCACCCGCGCGCCTCCCGCCGTCCTCCGTTTCCCTGGCAGCCCGGGATGACTGACAGACCGAGGCTCGTCCTGGACCCTCCCTCTCTCCTCTCTCCTCTCCTCACTTGAGCTCCGATCGCGAGCCTCAGTAACTTTCTACAGCGAGAGGGATGCAGCGCGCGCTCGGCGCAGCCTGAAAATGGCAACCCTTTGGATTTATCCGTCCCTTCTTTTCTTTCTCTTTCCCTCCCTCACACCGAGTCAAGCCTTACGGAATTACCCAGAGAATGAAGGTAAGAGGGCTTTGTGTTGAACAACTAAAGGATAGGATTAATTAACGGCTGGGGTTTGCGGGAGACGCAGTTTGTTGAAGTGCGCTCTGGATGCTGTGGTTCGTATAAATCATGCATAAGGCGAAAGAAGCAAGCAGGGAAAAAATTGCAAGTTTATGTGTTTTTAAGTAAGGGTTGGAGAAATTTTAGGGTACAGCATGCTTGTCCTGAAGTACTCGCTCTTGAAGTGCTCCCGCTGGATTGCAGTTGGATGTTTCTGATGTTTTTTTTTGTTTTTTTTGCACTACATATGCACGTGCCACTTATTAAAAATAATAAAAAATTATTTGCCTCAACAGCAGTATTTACTACAGTAGCCTATGTCGTTAAAAAAATAGTTCAATAAATAATATTTTAAGACGTAAATAAGCTGTGAACTTGCCATTTAGAAAGTCATTATACACCAGTGAAGATTTGTTTGCAAGTTATTTATTAGATAGCCAATACTTTACTTAACATTGAATGTATTAAAAGGCAATCTGAAAAAAAAATACTGTTAACTTTCTATTTATAAAGTCTTATGGAACAATAAGGGTTTGATTACAAGTTATTTGGAAGATGTCTAATGTTTTTTATGTACTTAAAAGGTAATATATTAGAAGTTATCTGAAAACAAACACTTTTTAAATACATAAAACATGCATAGTACACACACACACACACACAAAAAGAGAAAGAGTGAAGCAAAAATCAAGAAGTTGATGAAAGTAAAACTCTTAAACGTCTGGGTTGTATGTGGTGTATTGTGTTCAATGTGCCGTATGGCCAGCTGGATAGAGAGAGAGAGCTGAAAGTCTCTATAAGCCTGATCATTTATCAGTGACCATAAGGTGATTTGTTAATGGTGGCTGCATCTTGTCTATATAGCACGCTAGGAAATCTGTTCCACAATCTGTTAAATTAATAAAAAACAAAAAATCCAGAAATAGAATATGGACCAGATTGAGAACACACGAAACTTGGCTATTAACTGAGCTCTTTATCTGAAAATATATTTAGCATTCATTCACACATTCATTTACCTTCGGCTTAGTCCCTTTATTCATCAGGGGTCGTCTCAGCGGAATGAACCGCTAACTTATCCAGCAAATGTTTTACACTCCCTTTTAGCTGAATCCCAGTACTAGAAAAAATATTTAACATTTTTATGCATATATTTAGAGGTATATATCCATCCTCTCAAAGAGCTTTGTCTTTGTGCTGGGGCGCTGTAGGTTGTCCAGCAGAAATTTCAATGTGGTTAGTCCTGAGTTGAGAACTGTTTGTTTTGAGACACTCAAACCTTATGAATGAGCTGCTTTTTTGGCACAGTTTAGCCCTTGTTTCTCAAATGTCAAATGCTGGAATTTGAGTTCAGGAAAATACAACCCAGATAGACAACGGAGATAATGCTTCCTTCGAGACAGATGACTTATGCAGTCATTTCTATCCTGAGAAGAAGAGTACAGTAACTTTCTTTTTTTATGCTTTGCATGGCCCTTTCAGTGAATTCATCCACTTAAACTAAACAAAATCTGCTCTTTGAATCTCAGAAGCGTTGAGATTGCCCAAATGCCAGCCCTCGAAACCTAAGAAACATTCTTTTGTTGATGGAAAAAATACATTTGAGTGGATGATGAAACTGTGTTTAACCAGAGGAAATGAGAGACAAATCATTTCATGTCCAATACAAAGAGTAAATAGTGCTTTAACTGCAGTTAGCGTCTCTGTGGCCGTCCAGTGACCGGGAATTGCTTTCGTTCTCTTTATCTTTGCGTTCCCTCCCAGCAGGGTTTGTTCTTCTAGCCTCTTTTCCCTTTTGCAATTTGCTAGTTTTCTTTGCTTTCTTCTCAACCTTCCCCTTCTGATATCGGCCTAATTGGTTGACTTCAGTCAACTGCCTCGTGTCTTTGTATGCTTGGCGCTACTAGCATGTGTGTTTTGGTGTGTATGTGAGCGGAGTGCGTAACCACTCATCCAGTGGCTTCCAACGCATGGTCTCTTCTTGCTTTGTCTCTGCTGTGCTCTCGGTGACTGTAAATAACGTCTTCTCATCTGGAGGACGCCCGCTGTGCTTGCTCGACGAGCCGTAAGACTGACCGGCGTTTGTTATTTTAAGCCGCAGTGGGAGTGCGGGTGCCATGTTACGCCGAAGCAATGCAAACACAATGACATGGGAGTCATTTGCCACATATGGACCAAAATGTGGAAGTCATCTAAGAAGGAATGCATTCATACTCAGAGTGTTTGAACAGCAGAGGGCGCCTTGTAGCACTAGAATTCTTTTGAGGAGCTTGTTTTTTTATCATCAGTGTTGTGGATGTAGAAAAAAGAAATGGGAACAGAAGCCAAACATATTTAATTAAGTGCATTTTGATCTCAATTCATGGGGATTTTGCTTCATTATGCCACAATATCAAGGGCGTGAGTCTTGGAGTTTCACATCGGCACATCGATTCAAATAATTTGAAAGTAATTTTACCAAAAAAAAAAAAAATGAAGTCTGTTCAGTCTCTCATAGTCTAACAGCGGAGGTCTCATACCACCTGCTTGAGAAAAGATTAGATTGAGTCTCATCCGGGTTGGTGAGCTTAATTCGGTTTAATGGCTTAAAAAGAATCTTTAATCTTTTAGTTGAACCCCTGGAATGATCATCGATTTCTGTTTTCTTTTTTTCGTCTTCTTTTGCTCCAGATTAGTATTCTACCTCTGCCGTGGGCTGTGATATTCCTTCCTCTCTTTTTCCTCTCTTCTGGCGAGTGTGGGTGACCTGTCCCTGTTGCATGCTTTCATTTACTGGGCAGCAGGATTAGTGGTTCAGCTTCCCCCCAAGGGGAAGAGGGTCTGTTTGTGAAGGAGCCTCTGTTCTCTGCCTTTTCTCCAGGTTTAAACAGTCTGGATTAGAGTGCCCCAATGGCCAAATGCCTCAGCTAAAACAAGCAAGAGAGCATGACACACACATACTTGTACAGCTATCCTAATGGGAACTTACCATTGATGTAAATATTCTTGTAGTGATTTTTAAACTAGGGCTTGGTCGATATGACAAAAATCTCATAACATGATATAAATCATCTTATATCCTAACAACAATATACAGAATATTGAATATTGAAGTCAGAATTATTACCCCCCCCCCTTTTTTTTTCTTTTTAAAATATTTTCTAAATGATATTTAACAGAGCAAAGTCATTTTCACACTATGTCCGATAATCTTTTCTTCTGAAGAAAGTCTTATTTGTTTTATTCCAGCTAGAATTAAAACAGTTATTATTTTTATTTTAACAGTTATTCATATTCTCTTTTTATGTATAACTTCAGGGCGAATGTGTTATTAAAATATAGAAATATTAAATAAATATTAACAAAATGTAAAACACTTTTCAAAAACTAATGATTACTGGTCCAACATTAAAATATAATCGCTAAATCAAATGCAAAATGTAAACATTGTACTTTTAAGATGCATCTGCATATACTTGTGTGGATAGTTGGTCACCACAAAGTAAGGGATCGAGTATATCTTAGGTCATAGAGTAAGGTAGTAGAGCATAAACACACATACCTGTATGCACACATTAGTTCTGCATGATATTGGAAAAATCTAACATTACGATATATTTTTTATTTTGCTATATATTTCTAAATAAATACAATTTCACTTGATGGTTTGAATAATTATTTGTAAAGAATGGATCATTTTAGATTGATTGGGTTGATATAGGCCTGCATTGGCATAAAATATTATAAACAATCTACCAGCATAGATAAAGTCGTTAAATAAAAACAGACAAATTAAATAAATAGCGTTTAATTGTCTTCCGTGGAGTGTAACGGCATTCAGGTATATAGTAATTGAATAATCAATTGTAAAATAATACAGCATAGTCTTCGTTGTATAAACAATTTTATAAAAATAATCGTTATTAATTTTTTCAAAGTTACAAACAAACAATTTAAAGTGATTTAAAATCAGTCACAGGCCTTAAAACACTTGCAAAATGATCAATTATACTGCACACTCAGCATTGCATGTTCTGAGTTGTGACTGTTGCGAATGATCACATTGCGATATTGATGCTAAAACAATATAGTGTGTAGCCCTAGCACACACACATAAATAATCTTAATCATGCTCACATCACAGAGCTGTAACCAGCATGCACAATAATTACAATTGGCCAAATTGTCCTTCTCAATATGTGTCATTCTTGCACTGCTTTGATTTTCTCAACTATGAAGATTCTATTGTTTGGATGAAAGTTACATTTTCAGGCTGGTGTATCTTAGCCATTTCACAGGGCTTTCTGTGTCACAATGATTGAGGTGGCCAATCAAATTAAGATAGGCGGGGTTTACTGTTCACAGGAGCTGAACGCAAATTCCAGCATGAAGTCGACATTGACAGAGGGTGATGTAAGATGGCAGTAAGACTGAAACAGTCAAACTTTTAATTTACTGTATAGAAAAGTCTACTCAACTTTTTGCCTCAAATTTCACCATGTTGAGTAGAACATATGACATCAGTTATGTAAAATAAGAGTGAATGTGTACATATATTACCATATCATTTGAAAAAATAATTCATTCACAACTAGAATTAGACAAAAAGTTTACTTTAGTGTTAATTTACTAACCTATCCCTACCATTGAGCAATTTGATAAAAAGCTATATAGATGCACTTCTGCTTGAGACATAATGAAGATTCTTTTCCTCCCATATTTCAAATTCATCAGCAAATAAAAATACAAACAAATGAAAATCTTGGATACAAATTGGATGGATAATGTGGTAATGTGAAAACCTTTGAGTTTAAACTGCAAATTACCCAGCAGGCACACAACATCATAAGATGTTGATATTAGGTTAGAGTTAGTCATGACGTCAGGTGACCAAAATTTAATGTAGCCAGCGTCTAAGGACAAGGTTAGTTTGACATCCAATAATGACGTCAAAATACTTTGATATTAGGTTGATTTTA